CACACACACACACACACACACACACACACACACACACACACACACACACACCTAAAAGTGCCAATATTATTAGTGTCTTTCAGTTTCTAGAGTCATGATTAACTCACCTCTCCCTCTCTCTCCCTCTCTCCCTCTCCCCCCCTCTCTCTCTCGCTCTCCCTCTCTCTCTCTCTGTTGTTGAACTGACATGAGCAGGAGTGGGCGGAGCCTTCATAGACACACGGGCCAATATGGCGACACCTTTTTATTCCCCCCCAGCAAGAAAATGCCCAACACTGTTCAGATGAATGCACGTCTCTGTGGTCTGGTTGGCTGCAGCCTTTCGTCCTGTGACTCATCAGTGCTGCTGTGAATGTGCCAGAAAGTCTCAGCTCTGCTGGACTAAAACCAACCTGAATTAATCGACCACGTTACCTGATGCAACCTGACTGAAACATGTCACAACCTGGAGTTCAATCAGAGCCTTTGCATTTTGACCAACTCTCTGATAAAATGTGTTCACAATGGCTGCAGAACAAAGTGGTTAAGGTTCCCCTGTTTGATTCCACCGAGCAGCTTTATATTCACCAGGATGCTGACGGTGCAACAAACAGTGTAAAATGTGAGCTGAGGGTCACAGCTCTGCCAGGTCCTCACGCGCCATCATTCCTGCACAATCTCATCTTTTCTTACACAAAAACTCCCAAAATGTCAGAAATATAAGATCAGGAAACTCTTCTAAGTCGTCCCTTTTCACACGTAGCATCGAGAGAGCGACGGCTTCACTACGAGCCGACTTTCTCACACAGAAACAGTCAGATCACGCATTAAAGAAAGTTTAATGTTGCTGCATCAGACGTCTGCACGATCGTAGGGCATCGTTCACGGCTGCGGTGCACGTGTGAAAACGGCTTTCAACTCTACCAAGACAAGTAAATGAGGTAAGATGCTCCGTGGAGGGAAACAAAGTCCCCCTGTGGTTTAAAGCACATCAGACACTCAGCGTGACAGACGGCGTTATTTTAACCAACCAGAGCGTGACGGACGTTATCAGTTAAAAGTGTGCATTACCTGGTCCAGTTGTATGAGCTGGGGGTAGGCCCCGGGCATCTGGATGGCTATCTTCACGATGTCCTTCTGCTGCGGCATGACGGCCCCTCGTGGTTACACCGCTATTCAGCTGCTAACGAGAAAACAGAGATATTGGGCACCTGTGGCATTTATATGAAATACATTGTGTCCCATTTAAGAACCATGTGACCAAAATGGACTTGAGTTTGCACATAAAACGAGTCTCCGTCATTCGACAACAGAAAGGTGGAAAACGAGTGAAAGCTGACAGTCTGAATCTCATGGCTTCCTCGTGTTGATCCAACAACGTTTTCAACATGAAGCTGCAGAACGCGGCGGTTCCTCTTTCACCGTTTATTTATGGAGAGCTGAGTGAAGCTGAAACAGGTGACCTGCCCGTACAGGCAGCTCCAGTCCTTCCATCGTTCTTCTCACTTCCTCCTCGGCTCTGAGACTTTTCCCAGAGGATAAAGAAGCTTCAAACCCTTCCTCGTCCTCCTCCTCAGCCTCTCCACACATGGACAACACACA